TTTTATTCTTTTATATATTTATATTCTTTTTATATTATTTGGTTTTCATTGTTTTTCTATTTCTTTCTTCTATTATTTATCAATTTTATATTCATTTATTCTTTTTATTTCTTTTTTTATTATTTCTTGAGTATTGTATATTTCTTTAATATTTCATTTATATATTATCAAAATATATGTTTTATTGATTTATGTTGAATAAATTATAGAATAATTCAATATTTTCAATGTTAATTATTCATTATTTATTCTGAAATGTTGTGTATATTTATTATATTAAATGAATATGATGAATGAATATCAATATTATTGTTTATTTGATTTTAAAAAATAATAAATGAATATGAAATAATGAAATAAAATAATGAAGACAATGAAATGATAATGAAATAGAATAATCTAATATTGAACAAATCAAATAAAGAATATATTGAATATATCATTATTGTTACTTTATTATTTATTATTTCAATTATTAAATATTAATAAATTATTATTCATGAATATTTAATTGATTGATATTTTACAATTTCATTTTCATTTTATTTAATAAATGAAATATAAATAATAAATGAATGAATAATAATTTAATAAATGAAATAATAAATAATAAATGAAATAATAAATAATAAATAAATATGATGTATTTAATACATACTATAATTTATTATCAAATATAATAATATCAAATGATAATTTATTTTTATTTCAAAATATGTTGCTAAATATTTTGCATCATTAAATTTTGCATCATTAAATTTTGCGCTTTTTTTATTTGTTTCAATAAAATTTGCATCCTTTATTTTTTTCATTCTTTTCTTCTTTTATCATCTCTTTTGTTTTATTACACTTTATCTTCTTTCTTTTTATATTCTCTCCTTTCTACTTTTATTCTTTCTTCATCATATTCTACTTCTTACTTTCATTTTATTCTTTTATATCTTTCATTCTCTTCTGTTTCAATTATTTGCTTTTTTTCGTTGCCTGTCATGTTCTTCTTGCTTTTTCATTTGGTCTTTGTTATTAACTTGTTCTTTACTACTTTTGTTTTCTTTTCCTTGTGTATCACTATCACTCTGGTTTTTATTATCTCCTTCTTCTATGTTCTTGCCTTTATTATGACTTTCATCTGAATTTTCTTCTTTTACTTTTTCTTCTTTTGTATCTGTGCTTTGAACTTTGTTCTGATCTTGTCCTTGTTTCTCTCCACCAGTTACTTCACTCTGTTCTTTGCTTCAATCTCCTCCACTTTTTGGCTGACTAACTCCTTCATTTGTTTTTTCTTTCACATTTCCTTCTCCTTTATCTTCTTTATTGTTAATTGCCTCATTACTCTTCTGTTCTTTCCCATTTTCAGTTATACTTGTTGTTAATTCTTCTGTTGTTACTATTGGTGATTTTTCTACAGTTGTTGTTTCTTTTGCCTCTTCAATTTCTCCTTTTAATTGTACTTTATGTAGATTAAACATTCTTTTGTATTGTTTTGATTGTATTTGTGTGTGTAATATTTCTGTATTTCTGTATTCTTGTTTGTTAATACTCTCTGTTGCATTAGTTATTACAATAATCAATAGAAATATAATCATTGAATGAAATGGATGTAAGTTATTCTCTTTAAATATACTTTATTCTTGTTCTATTATTATCTTTTATTTTCATTTTTATTTTATAATGACTCAATTATTTCATTCTTCATTTCATCTTATTGTTGTATTGTTGTATTTTGAAATTCAATGATACATAGAATGAAATGAAATATTAAATTAAAATTCATTTCACTTTTGTAATTTATTCAACAAAATTGAATAAATATTAAATTTAATAAAATAAACCATTAGGAATGAAAACAATAATGAATGAAATGAATAATAATTTCAATTCATAATTCAAATCATTATTATTTTAAGAATATATTCATCATTTATTGTTTGTTCATTTTAATTTATTTCTTATTCCGACTTTATCATAAAATGATTCAAATGAATAAAACAAGAATATGAATAAATAGAAATAACATGAACAAATAATTATTTAGTCTTATTAGAATTTATTATTTGATGGATATATTAATTATTATCAACATTTTTGTATTAAAACTCAAATACATAATTTGTTGATATTATTTTATTTTGTAAGTCTATTTATTTATTTATTGTTTTTATTATATTTGTTTATATTATTTATGAAATATAAATATTTTAATTATTATCACTTATTCTTTATTTTCATTATATTTATTTTATTTTTGATTATATTTTATTAATATTAACTAATCTAGTGTTTGTTTAATTTGTTTATTATTTCATTTTTACCTTATTCATTATCATTTCTTCTATTTCATTATTTGCATTAAAATAACAAATATTATTATTTAATTTGTTTATTTGATTCTATTTCAATTTTATCATTAATGAATTTATATAATTATCCATTTTCTAAGTATGTTTTTATTTATTCATTGTTGATTGTTTTTATATATTAATTCATTCTTATTTATTTATTTATTTGTTGATTTATTCTATAATAATGTAA